TTTAATGTAAGTGGCTATTGTTCGGGACAAACAATACTAAGAAGGGGCAGTGTTGCGTCAGCGAGGTCACGTGACTGGTATCACGCCACGTCCTTCTCAATCCTTCATGAATTATCGGGAGACTACTAGATTGGGGGTAGTATGGTATATATATAAGACGGTCACAACGTGACGGAACGAGGTAATGAGTAATTGAATGTATGCGGACGGAATATTGTTGGCCACGTGAGACGTGAGTTATAGCGTTTGTTATAGAGCGAATGTTGAAATTAAGTGTATCGTAAGGTTGTATTCGGAAAGAATAAACCAGTTTTATTTAAGAAAGGACTTGTGTCGCTAAAGTTTAGTCGGAAAGAATTTACGGAAAATTAACTAACGAACGGAGACGTAACAGTTATAAAAGCCAAAATGCATTTGTCCAGATAAAATAGTTCGATTACTGTCTGCCCATTACGATTTTAGTGACGGGGGTGGTGGTGTCGTGAGACCTTATAAGTGTAGTATAATAAGCCTAAAGTAAAGACGTAGTGTGGAATCAGCTAGCCAAGAGCCAAATGCATAAAAATTTATCATGAAAGTAAAAATAACGATTCAATTTTAAATGTTCTGTTATATCACCAACTTTTTTTTTAACAAACCTCTTTAATAAATGGAGATTAAATTAAGAGATCAACAAGTATTTTTCCAGTTTTGTTGTCTATAAATAATTGCATTCTATATTCAATACATAGACTAACAAAGATATTACGTTATGCTTTTGTTGCTAAGCGACATGATATAAAAGCCATAGTTGGATGTAGTGTTACCAAAACGTACTGGCTTTTCTATATATATTACATTTTAACCAATTTTATATCTGATTTTTACAAATAATTATTCTGTGAATACTCCACTAATTCATTTCATGAATGAGCTTAATTGGGTCACAAAGGAATTTACCGACGTTTGACTGCATTGACTGCACTTTTCTGCCCTTTTGTTGGTCAAGCTTGCTATCGCAAAATTAATTTATTTCAGTTAGTCATGAAATGAGAGGTTAGAGTATACTAAGGGGTGGGGTGGGAATGGTAATGCTTGCCCCATCATTTTTGACGGGCTATACTCTAGTTAAATAGAAATCTCAGAATACGATATATATATGATTGCATCAGTACAGCGTAGCAACAGTTAAGTTTTAACCCAGTTTCTAAGTAAGCGCGAGTCAAATAAATTATGAAGAGATCCGAAACTTAAATATTACATTTAGGTCACATTATATTACTTATGTCTGTGATGCTAGTATATTATGAAGAGAGTTGGAACTTGAATATTACATTTAAGTAACAATATTGTATTTGCCTATGATGCCAGTATGTTCAGTGTCGTGATTTACAAAACTTGTAGTGTTTTGTTGTGGTTTGTCACAAATTAACAATTTACCATTGAAAAAGAAGTGAAAAAATTCATTTATTCTTTCTTTTTTCTCACATTTTTATTAGTGTTAGAAACCGTGTTATTATGCATTTCATAACCGAGTCTTAGAGAAACTAATCAATATATGCAATCCATACTTTAAGAATCATGTTAAGCTATATGTATAACTTAAAATCATTAAAAACAGCCTGTTAAATTATGGCAAAGTAGATATATATATATATATATATATACTATACGAGAGAATGGCATGTTCCCTTTGGTAGAGCTGTGGATTTCGGAGCTGACGAGCTGACTTAGAATTCGTGCGATACCACAAAATATTCTCATTACCTTTAGCTGTGAGCACGTTAGAAGAGTGACAGTCATTCCCTTAGCGTGGGTGGTGGTTTGAGAGTGCTACTAACTGGCTTCCTTCTTTCTGGTCAGTAACTATAAATTAGGGACCTCAGAAGGTAGCCTTAATAGCTTTGCCATAAATATAAAATACACGCTAAAAGACAAAGCGACGTAAAAAAGGGCGTATTCACTACGTCCTGTTTTGTTTCTACTTATTTTAAACATTAGGACCTTCTCAGTATTCGAAACTTTATACATGTTGTTTAGAGAATTGTTTTTCACTGGATTTTAGCTTTCTGCTGATATCGATGATGACTCATACAAGTAAAAAAAATTCGTATGTTTATGCTGGTATCGATGATGACTCATACAAGTAAAAACAATTCGTATGATTATTTAAATAAAGTGCATCTATTATAATTATTCTTTCTTATAATTTTTTTTTACTCGTTGTTACTTACGAACGCATTCTGACACAATCCTGATTAATGATACAACAAACAAACATAACCTGAATTTCATGAAAGTGCTCGGTTATTGGGTTTTAATTGTACATCTTTTACGTGTTGTTAACGTGTAATACACAATATCCTGGAATAATTTACATGATGGAGCTTATTACAAGGAAGCTGTTTTCTGTCTGGTGATAAAGGCAGAATGCCATGACTCTCTAATATATATAGGTAGTGTTTTCGGTTTATTAAAAACATTAAAATGAGTTAGGTGAAATAAAATAAGTTAATTACCATTTATTTTAATTTGTGCACGAATCTACAAGTTTATTCATTATAAGTCTATAAGTTTATTGATTACCACTTATTTTAATATGTGCACGAGTCTAGGCCCGGCATGGCCAGGTGGTTATGGCGCTCAATTCGCCATCTGAGGGGCGCGGGTTCGAATCTCCGTCTCACCAAACATGCTCGCCCTTTCAGCCGTGGGGCGTTATAATGTGACGGTCAATCCCACTATTCGTTGGTAAAAGAGTAGCCCAAGAGTTGGCGGTGGGTGGTGATGACTAGCTGCCTTCCCTCTAGTCTTACACTGCTAAATTAGGGAAATTCAAAACAAACAATCAAAGCACGAGTCTATAAGTTTATTATTAATTACCATTTATTTTAATTTGTGCACGAATCTATAAGTTTGTTATAATTACCATTTATTCGAATTTGTGTGCAAGTCTGTAAGTTTTATTAGGACAAACCGTTTTTGACGTTCGGAGCGTTTTGAAATAGTTCAACCTTAACCAATCTTACAACGCTCGTGAGAAACAGCGAGATGCAACAAATATCATTTCAATGGAGGGATCAACCACATTTCTCTTTAACCCTGTTGCTCCGAAAGAAGAGCCCAAAAAGTTTGCTTATGATTTCAGTTATTGGTCAAATGACGGCTACATAGAGCAAGACAACGGCTATTGTACGGCGGACCCCAGTCATCCAAACGGCAGTAAATTTGCCGACCAGGTGAGCAGAGTGGCTTTTCTTTAAATTGTTTTCTAATCTTATCAGTCATTTTTGTCTATTGCGTTTGTTTGTTTCGCTGTTAGTAAACTTAAACATTTATCTATTAGTGAGTTTTATTCTTTTATAAACTTATCATACATTAGGGCGTGCAGACATTAATTTATCATTATCCTACCACTAAAGCCTCTTTTAAATATACTAAAAATGTTTATTGGAGCAGCACAAAACAAGGAGTTAAATTTCGCTTTAATTTATGTGATTTTTAGAAATGTTCTGTTTCGTTTTTAATTAGCGATATAAGTAACATATATATATACATATTTGTTGTAAATATGATTAATTTCTACGATCATATAACTTCTGTAGATAAGCATCTTTGCGTTAAAACAAAAGAGGGCAAACAAGCTACACTCTTATGATTTCTTTTGGTCAGTTCCTTAAGAAAAACATAAAATGAAAATATGTAGATCAACGTATGGATGTGAGGTACCAGCCATTTATCCAAGTGTGGTATGTCCAAGTAAAACTAAATCAACTTAGAGCAGTGGGATAGGTCTGTTTAATAACAGGAGATTCTGTCAAGATACCAATTACAGAGCAATCTGTGAGTAGCTGAATCGTGAAAATAAATGAAATATAGACTGAAAAAACACAAAGCAAAAAACGAAATGTATAATCTTTATTAAAACAGACTAAAGACAAGCACAATATGTATACTTATACTCGTCACACGATATAAGTCTAGGTCTATGAAATGTCCCTTAGGGACTTTTAAGAATCAGAAGAGTGTATAATAATAGTATTCCAACCAAACTATATCCGCCATATCAAATGCCGGTGACATGCTTCACTTAATTATCACGCATTAAATAAAAGTCTAAAGATACAGCTTTTGAGTGGATTGCTTACAACACAGCATTTAACATATGTAGTAGCAGTAATATGCAGCATGAACTGGAATCAATATTTGACACGTTTATTAACAAATGTAACTTCCCTAAAAACATTGTCACAAAAACCTTAACGAAGTATAAAAATAAACTCAATAACAGAAAAAAAAAAGAAAGGGAAAACTACATAAACTCCATGAAAGAAACAAAATGGGAAGTTGGAGAAAACCATCCGTAGCCTCATATTTTGAAAAGATGCAAGCGGGAATAGGTTATTCCGAAGTTTATAAAATTAAACCATCAACTACGAAATAAAAAAAAATCAATCCATAATCGGTAAAACAGAAAAAAGATTCTAAAGGCAACAATTAGACGAAAATACAGAGTCATCAATAATTTGAAAAAAGAAGATTCAAAACTACTTAACCTCCTAATCTTCAACACCACGTCAGACGACTCGAGCATGTTATTAGGAGTTATCAACCGAAACTGGATAAACAAAGAGCTCAAATAGAAATTAGACATACTGAAAACATACATATCGAAAGAAGGAATCTGACAGCTAGTAAACACGACAACACAAAAAGCAAATGTACAAATATATTAAATTTATCAAAAACAACTCTAACACCAACTCAAAAAGATATTATAATCAAAGTCCAAAATTATGTAATGACACACAAAAACGTTCCCAACCTAGGGATAAAAGCCGAAATAGAAGACTTAACTAGGAAATTAGTCCAGCAAACAATCAAAGAAAAACTAAGAAGTACAACAGCAAACAAGAGCATCTCATCAATCGAAGTTAAAGAAACAAATAAAGATCAATTAGATAAGAACACTGACAATGAAACTGCAAAGACATTTCAAGGCCAAAATAACAGAATATGGTTTCCTAAAATACCAAATAACAATTAAAACCTAAACGATTTTATCCATGAAATATCGGGTAGAATTTAAGGTTATCTATTAAAAGTCATAAAATTAAACAAAACGTCACGAAACGCCAAATATCAGCCCTAAAAGAACTGCAGAATAATTCATAAATTATTATAGTAAAGGCTGACAAAGGAGGTAAAACCGTAGTTATGGAAACAGAAGATTACAACAACTTATTAAAAAAACACTTAAATCATTTATCCAAATTCAAAGAACTATCCAAAAACCTTAACGAATTGTTATGGAGGACAATTGGATAATCTACTTTTAAAGTTAAAAATGAATAACGACTTTACAGAATACATCTACAACAGCTTAAGAGTCACCAATGCATGTACCCCTTGTTTGTTTGGTGCTCCGAAGATTTACAAAAACCCAATTGACATCCACCCCACCCTTTCCATTTATAGCAGCTATATGTAACCATGAGTTTGCATGATTTGGATTTTCTGTTCAAACCACTGCATGAAAACAATAAATACAATGTTGTATGTGTTTGAGAACTTCGAGGCATTCTCAAAAACCTCAACAGTCGTCACAAAATGTACGGTTATGACGTAGCCTCCATGTATACAATGATATCGAAAGATGAAGCAACAAACCTAGCTCTACAAATACCAAAAATTTCCAGCAAATTGCATAACAGCCAAAGCTTGGAAATTTTGAAAGTCTAGTTCCACTTTGCATTAAAAATATGTTTCACTTGTCAAGATAAAACTTGTGAACAAATAGACGGCCTAACACAGACAGTCCTCTGTCACCTGGATTATGTGAATTGTTTATCAACAAAGTAGAAAGTCGGGCCACTAACACAGCTCTACACCCTCCCACACACTGGTTTAGACACGTCGACGATATATTTTGTGGATTTGGAAAAAAACATCCATCAACAGTCATTTTTACAGCACGTAAAAACATTCAATCTCACATCAAATTTACTTATTCAGAAGAGAATGAAAAGCAGGTTTTAAATTACATGAACATAAAAATAGAAATAAACTCCAACAGTTTTAAACTCGAAAATCTTCCTCAAATCTGGTAGTTTTTTTTTCTGTTATTGAGTTTATCTAAGGTTCTAGTGACAATGTGTTTAGGGAAGTTACATTTGTCAATAAATGTGCCAGATATGGATTGTAGTTCATGCTTCAAATTACAGATACTACATATGTTAAATCCTGTAAATGCGTGATAACGTGCCAATCTTTTGTTGAGTTGAGTGGGCTGAGTCCCACTTTATATAGTTGTTATCGAAGGAGAAAACTACATAAACTCCATGATGGAATCCAAATGCACAAACTCAGACACACTAATAGGTGTCTTACCATATCATAGCAATGCAACCAAAAACATCATAAACATTTGGAAACAAGCATAAAAAAACACAAAATAAAAGTTACTTTTATTTAAAAAACGAACACTAAAATCAAAGTTCACCTAAGGAAGGTTTATTCTGACAACTTCAACGACGGTAGCATCAACAAGTATCAATGTGATCGATGTGATATCGCTTACATACGCGAAACGGGACGCAACATAAGCATTAAGATCAAAGAACATAACAATCCCCATCACACATTTACGAACCCGGCATAACGAATCAATATTAACAACTTTAAAGTTGTTATTCATTGATTATTCGTGAACTAAAACGTAATTTAAATCAAAACACAGGTGTCGTCCTATACGTTTTCCAATTTGGAACAAAATGCTTGCACAGTATTTCACAAAATAAAGACAGTTACCTGATGATGGCGACATGAGCGGTCGAAATGTCTTAAAAAGTTAAAAGAAAATAAACAATCCAGTCAAAAGCTGTGTGTTTGGACTTTTATTTAAAGTGTATAGCGGATTTCCTTTCCTAATAACAACAACCATACTTGTTTAAAAGTCCAATAGGCTTGATACCCATGTTTTATGACAACTAAAATTATAATCATGCTTTGCCAGCTTATAAAAGATGTTCAAACCGTAAAAACTATAGCTGTAACAAATGGCTTCTATAAGTGGTTTTTTGACCACTACTGTGTTTGTTGTATCCTACCTGACCTTGATTGAAAGAAACAGAACATCAGCAATGGATATGACGAGTATAATGTGGTTGAAATACTGTTATTATACTCTCTTATAATTGAAAGTCCATAAAGGACTAGATAATGAATGTAGTGTTTAAAAATGTAATAGGTCTAATACTTATGTTTTATGATATGAATAATTATAATCATGCTTTGCTAAACTGTAAATGTCGTTCAAACCATGACAATATCTATATTTGTTTTATTTACATGGAATGACTTGTACAAGATCTTATATCTCCAATTGATTAGGGCGTTCCTTACTTTACAGGAAATATTATACTTATCTAGACTGACTAGTGCACGTCACGTGACTGGTCTTTCTCATTTAAATACAGGTGAGGCCAAAACCTCAGGATATTATCACCTGAACTATTATTTAAGGACACTGCTGTTGACATTCTTGCATAAAATGTGGTATTCATCATAGCCAGAGCAAATATTAATGAACTGAGAATAACAAAAGAACAAAGACAGCTGGAACAACTTTGTTGGTCACGAATTATATGAAAACTGCACATACAAAGAATAAATTCAGAATAAGTACTATTATAAAACAGGAAGGTAGAAATGCATGGTACAGTTTTGTCTCAAGTGTTTGCATACTGTTTTATGTTGATGTTATTGTCTACGTGCATGGAGTAGTTATTGAGTAAATGCCCAAGCAGTAGCAGAGAAGGTATCATATGATCGGTCAATGTAAGTTGTTATTCTGTCTGTATAAGTTGTTTTGAGCATTTGTTTTAAACTACATTCTTTATCTAGTCTCTTAAGCACTTTCAAAAATAAGGAAAGTGTATAATAATAATAGAATTCCAACCACACTATATTCACGATATCTATTCCCAATGACCTGTTTCAATCAATCAAGAGTTCTTCAGGCCAGGTGGGATACAACAAATACCTGTTTTATACAAAAGGGCGTGCTTCTGGTATCATCTTATTCAAAACAGATCAATGCTTTGTTCAGACAATTTATCTGTACTTGGTATAGTGTCATATCCTGTCACGTGCCAGAAGTTATAGGGTGTCAAATTGTTCGACAGAAATAATATGATGCAAACGGACATTGCCAGAACAGTATGAACCCCAGTGTACTGTATATGGAATCCTGGAACGTCTTCGGACTACCAGAAATGTTGTTCCAGGAAAGTCTACTGGTGTATGCCGAAAAACTAGAGTTTGAGATGACCGTATTTTGATCATGTTAACATATCAGTGTCGAAAGAACTCTTGCAACACCTCACGACAAAAATGACATGAACACATTAGTTCCAGGTATCCAAAAAACAGTGAATCGGAGATTAACCAAACAAAATTGTTTTGCAAGAAGGGCTATTTGCAAACCGATATTAACCAGAATTCACTGCTGTCACTATGTTACTCGGGCAAGACAGCGTGCCAGCTTACAGTTAGGACACTCATAACACGTCATCTTTTCAAAAAAAGAGTCCTATTTCCAGCTTGTTAAAGCTCATGGTAGGATTCGTGTTTGCCATTTGCCTGGAGAACAGACGAGGAAAAACCATTTTTTCCACAGGGAACACACAGGAGTTGGTGCAGTACATGTTTGGACAGCTATTTATCATGGTGGACAAACTGCTCTTTATTTACTTCAGGGAAACATCAGTCGCGCCTTCTACAGGCATCACATGGAGATGATATTTCTGCCATATACTAGGGCAAGGTTTAGCAATAACTTTGTGTTCCAGGATGACAATGTCACTGCCCACAGTGCGTGTATTGTACAGGATTATCTCGGCCAAAGGTGACGTTACAAGATTGCCATGGTCAGCAAAGTCTCCAGATTATTGAGCAAAACTGAGTCGGAAAATTGCTAACCATGACTCTAAACCAGCTATTGTAGCTGAGTTACAGTATCTTCTAATGTCATGTTGGGATGAAATCACGGTGAATTACAACAATAACCTCACCAACAACATACCACGTCGTTTTGTGGTGGTTATTGGTGTATGAGGAGGAACAACCAAGTACTAAATGTTTAATATGAACTGATATAAGTTCAAAGACACTATTTATAACACAGGCATGCGAATTTAAACTTCATAAAAGTTGTTTTGGTTTTAATAACGGATTTTCCGTTATTCAGATATTGAATATTGATCTCAAACGAATATGCATCCTCATTCATCCTGATTTGTTTGTGAAATGTACGTCTTTTAGTCTCAAAACTACGTGTTGTGGTCTTTCTTTTATGTATTGCATGACGTTTTGTGAAAAACCTGTAAGTGATGGAGAAAAATTGATATCATTTTCGGATTCAACGTACAGGAAATACTGTAGAACATGTAAACATTTCAAGGCAATAAAACCATCGCAGGTTTGTGTAATCATTTAATGTTATATTTTGTCATTTTTACGTTTTGGTAAGGTTTTGTTGTGATATGTGAAATGCTGAATTACACATATTTCTACAGGTGTCTGATAAAATTGTTTGCTGCCCTAATAAATCATTCATGACGTCCATAGCACCTATATCATTATACAAATTACATATGAAGATGTTTAATATAACATGCTTTTCTCAGTTTGACAATGCTAAGTGTATTTGTATTTCATCTTAATAATAATGATCTTATTTGTTACAAAATAAACAAACATTTTGCCTAAGATTATATATTCCTATACCACATTTCCTCTCTTCCCTGCTTTAGGCTTGTCCTCAAGCTGACAATTAATTTTAACTTAACACCAATAAACTTTAAACGTGTACTCTTTAACATAGACCATAATTACAAGTTAACTCACATCGAAATACAAAATCAAATGTCATTACATAATATAATGCAACAATAAAATACAAAGCTTTGAACAATGATTAGTATAGAACAAAACAGCAATGTCACAAGTACACTTATGCATAATAAAGTAACCCAAATAATAAAACATTCAGCCATATTAAATAAAATCACTTTGCAAAATATGGTAAACACTCTTGCTTGTTTTTAGAGTGGGACAATCCTTGAAATAACATAAAATACCATGTTCTATTACTAAAGTATTATGCAATTACAGCAGAGTCATGTGTAATAAGTTTGATATATGAGAAAACATGTATTTGTTATATTGTTGTAAAATAGTTCTTTCTTTGCCATCTCTTTTAAATTATCAGGTGAAAATAATTCAATGTACAGTCAACTTACTTGTACAAAGTAGCACAATAACTCACTTTTATCTCAACTAAATATTAACTTGATGCTTATTTTATAGCAAAATTATTTTCACTAATCTTAAAAGTGTGTTATATGAAATTGTCTACTTGCAGTAAAATTCCCAGTGGGTCAGCAGTAAATTTACAGACTTACAACACTAAAATCTGGGGCTTGACTGCTCATGTTGGACAGTGGTCAACCTACTGTGTAGCTTTGTACTAAGACTAATTAACAAACAAATTAACATGAAATGTCTTAGATGAGTATTTTAATAGATTTTTTAAAAATAACATGCATGTTTGAACGACATTTTATTGCTTTTAAGATACCATATCCAAAAATGTATTTTTGTGTATGTTAGCAATACTTTGAAGAAGAAGCCTAGCAAAATATTATTATTTTGTTTTCTAGTATCTTCAATTAAATTTTACTTTGTATAGGCCAAAGTCTATGAAGATCTTGGAAGAGGTGTTCTTAGTAATGCCTGGGAAGGCTACAACTCCACATTATTTGCTTATGGACAGACAGGTTCAGGAAAATCATACTCAGTAATTGGTTATGGTCCAAACAAAGGTTAGGTCTAACAGATTCTTCTTCTAATCAGTTATTTATATTTTATTAAATATAAAAAAATGCCTGTGATGATTAATAAACTAACTCTGTGAACAACTACTGACTTTATGGGGTTCTTGTTATTCACGTTTCAGTGATATGTGAGTAAAATGAAATATTTTACATTTCCTGGCTATCAGGTATTGTGCCTTTGTTTTGTGAAGAGATGTTTCAAGGAATTGAAGAAAAGAAATCCAGTGGAGATGCTACAGAATTTGAGGTAAAGATTTTTAAGATTATTTATGGTAATAATCTTTGTTTGAAGATTGTGTCAAAAAGTTTTTTTTTGGTACTTATACTTTTTAAAGATGGCAATGTGAAAGAAACTTCCTTGTTTAAATGCTATGCAATAATCTCACTTGGTTTCGAATTAATATAGATTTCAGGTGTGTTTTAATCAGGTTTTTCAAGTGATATCTTTATATTCAAATGAGACTTTCTTATATATATTATCTAAATAAGATACAAAATGATTTTAAACAGATATACATCAAAAGGAAAGATAGCCTGAGCATAGCGTATCTGAATCTTAGATGAAATATAGTTAGATTTAATTTTCTTGGAAATAAACAACAACATAAAATTCAGCCATAAAACAAATATCTAACATGAGGGTGCAAACCATAGGATAAGTCATTGTGTAATTTGCTCTGGTTTTTGAAGTACTGGTGGAAGTAAGACTGAAATTATGTTGGAGGTACTCCATCTATCCAATTTCACTGACCTCACATGCTTAAAAAAAGAAAAGAAAGACAAGGAGCAGATATGGATGCTCAATCCCACAACATTCTACATACTTTTCACCTTATACTGTCTGAAGTCAGAAGTGGGAAGCTGGTTGTTCTCTTATGACATTTAGGTGAAAAAACATTAGTAAGAAAAACAATAATTAGAATACTATATATCAATGGGAGAGACAATGGTATTCCAGCTCACAATATGATGGAGGATGGGAGTTATAATAAAACAAAACGTTGGGTTTAGTATAATAATAATACTGTTTGGTTTTATGTCAAGACATTATATTGAGGGCTGGCATATCAGCTTCAAAGACAGTTCTGGCTGCAGACAGTGAAAGGTGGTAAAGGATGTTTTGGGATTAAATACCCACATCTGCTCCTTTTCTCTTTCTTTCTTGCTCTTTTCTTAAGTATGTGAGGTCAGCAAAATTGAGGTTAAACTGGATAGACAGGGTAATTTGGGTCTTAGTTCTGCTGATATCTCAAAAACCACAACACATTAGATAATGACTTACCTTATGGTTGGTACCCTGATGTTGGGTGTTTGTTTTGTGGCTGTGTTTTTCTTTTTCAGAAAAGTAAATCTAAATATATATTTATATGATGCATACACACCTTCTCTAATTAAATTTTAGTCTAAAGATGACAGTACATTGCTAATATTCATGGTGTAATAGGTTTGGGATAACCTACTGTTGCGTCATCGAGGTCACGTGACTGGTGTGGCGCCCTCTAGTTTCTAGAACTATCTTGTTCCTTCGGGATTGCTCTAGTATTTGCTAGATAGGGTAGGCTGGTATATATAAGAGGGGGACAACGTGACGCGGTAATGTGTGTATAGACAGTGAGTAATTGAACTGCAGTCAGAGAGTACGAGAGACGTTACAGCGTTTGTTTAGTGTGATTGTTGAAGTTGAGTGTATCGGTAAAGTTATATTCGGAAAGAATAAACCAGTTTTATTAAGAAAGGACTTGTGTCGCTTAAGTTTCGTCGGAACGAAGTTACGGAAAGTTAATTAACAAACGGAGACGTAACACTACCTTTTTTAGGGGTTTTCTAACCTGTTATAAGTACTATGTAGGTTTCAGCTATGCTATTTGCGTGAAGTTTTTAAAAATCCATTTTGAAATATACTATATACTTTAGATTTATTACTTATGCACTAAGCATAGATCTAAAATTTGCCAAGTAATTTCAAATCTCATATTTGATAACTGAGCTTAGCTCTGTTGCTTACTAATGATGTTATTTTAATAGTCATTGAATCTAACATATGTCATGGAAAAACGATATCAAATAAAACAAAACTCTTTGGTAATTACAGTTAATGCAACACCATGTATATTTCAATAGCAATGTATTTTAAAGAAAAACTGGTGATGAATTCCCAAGTATAACCTGTGAGTAAATATATACATATATACCTGACAGAAATGTTGTCACTTTAAGATAAATGAAATATAGAATATATTTTAAGTAGTAGTTTCAAAATAAGCGAAACTACATTGTTGTATATTCCATTTAGTACATATAATCCTAGTAAAACTGTTTCAGTTAGTTTATTATGAAAACTAATACGAACAATCCTTATAGACCATAAGAATGTTTTAATGAAGGAGAGAGAGAGAGATGAAAGTTAAATGCACAAAACTACACAGAAGATAATTAATACTTAATATACTATTATTCTTAATCCAATCACCTAAGTTGAAGCACAGATGTATTTTTATGTTCTTAGAATGCATTCATTGCTAATGATTTTCTCCCTCTATTTTGTGAGCTCATTTGACAAAACATGGTGGATATTTAATCATTAAAGTCTTGGGTACAAGCTTAACAATGGTATTGCTCATTTGAAGTATTATAAGATGTGTTTTGGGACTATTTCTTGCAGTTTTAGTCATTCTTCCTCTCTTCTCTGTCTCTCCTCTTCTTTATTCTGTTGCTGCTCTTCTCTCTATAGTTTTTGTTGTTGTTTAACAAATTCTAGTAGTTCACTGTTTGTTAATCTAAGACGCTCTCCTCTTTCTATCCGTTTATCAAAATTTGACATGGTTATGTAGGGTGATTGTAATCTTCACACTATTTTCGCTACTACTACAGTTGTATGTATATAGGCCTACTTATTTCCACTGTCATCGGCTTGCCAAATGTCAGAAACTTACCTTTTAGTAGTATATATATGGTAATGTAAATATATGAGTGTGTTGGGCTAAAGATTCTTCTACAGTAAGTGTCTATGACTTGTTGGCAATAAATTCGACAATAAACGAACAGCATGTACTCCACTTATTTTTAAAATAATATATATATTTGAAACAATTTAAATGCAAGTTCAAACATTCTTTACACCATGGAGACCATAGTTTTATCTTAAACAGTATACAGTTCTCTTCTTGTCAAAAATGCACTTAAGCCTGTTCAATTGCTTTAGAATTCAGTTGACAAGCCAAACTATTTTTCTCTATTTTTATTGCAATAGTATCCATATATATATATAATTCACTTATGCTGTAACATGAGTTACTGCAGTCACATCCTAAACTTCCAATAATCACCTGCTCTTCCTACTTCCAATAATCATCTGCCTTTTGCCAAAGTCCACATAGAACACCCTTTGATGAGATGAATTATTCTCCTTATCTCTTTCAAACTGTTAATCTCACTCTAATCAACCATTAGGCCAGTTGGTCCCTCGATGGTTAACTTTACATTTTTTTTTACTTTTCTTTGACCAAACTACTCTTTCGTGTGACTTTACTTCAACGGTTAACTTTACATTTTTTTTTACTTTTCTCTGACCAAACTTGTCTTTCATGTGACTTTACTTTTACTCCATTTCTGCTCATGTGGTCACAGCTATTTACATGTTTATCACTTAGACCTTCTAGAAATCTCCATAACTTCGACATTAATGAATTACAAACACAAAATTAATTAATAATACTACCTACACTAAACAGTCTTTTATATCTGACATTTGTTAGTGTCCGTTACAAAGGTAATCAATAAGTATGTTGGAGAATGTAGTAATTTAATAGGTTCTTAGTTGTTTAATCACTTGCACAGGCATGTCTTGTGGCTTTACAAAAATAGCAGATTTATTAAGATAAATATTTGCAAGTCACACTTGCATTAATTGAAAATTAATCTATTCTACTTTTTAGTGAAATTATGTTTTAAATATGTTAGTTTCATTATAGTTGTTTCTGTTTAGACAAAAAGAAACAAAAAAGGTTGAGTTTTTCCCCATTATGGTTCTCCTTTTCTGCTTTTTTGATGTATTGCTACAAAATATTTAATTGTTTTCTTGTAGGTTCGCTTCAGTATGCTGGAGATATACAGTGAGGTGGCTAGAGACCTGCTTGGAAATACTGGAAATAAAAAGAAAGGCTTGAAAGTCCGAGAACATCCTAAGAAGGGTTTCTATGGTAGGTTCATATTAGTGTATTAAAGGTGAAAATTTAAACCAGTTATTTAATTCTTTTGTTTGGTCAAGCAACTTCTTTTCAATACCCACCACCTGCTTACAATATTTCAGATTGATTAATCATTAATTACTTTAATATTTATAATTCACTTGTTAGATTTTATATCTGTTATTGACCTAGGAAACTTCATATTTTATTTACATTATTCTCACAGCGATTAACTAATGATTTCAAAATCACTACCAATTAATTATATGTAGACTGGTTCAAAATTTGGGGAGAGGAATATTTTGCCTCATGAAGAATCTTTACTACTATCAAATAAATTAATTGGAGTTTTCAGAAAATAGAAAGAATTATTCTGCTTCAGGGCATGATTAATCCAACCAAATCTGGTTTAAAGAAAGTATCTCTTTTCATTTTCTCTAAGTAGTTTTGAATGATGTTCTGAAGGTTTGACAATACCAAAAGACAAACTTTTTTTTATGCTTACTAAAAACAGCTGATGGTCTAAAGACATACATGGTCACAGGATATAAGGATATTCAATCCAAGATTGAAGAAGGAACTCTTAACAGAAGCATTGCTTCAACTAACATGAATGCCACCAGCAGGTAAATGTTAAAACAGAACTTGTGTAATTTGTTTTATAAATTCTGTCCCAAAATTTATCTATTGTTTAATCTTATTAAGTCAGCTAATAATTTCTGTCGATTTGATATTTATTTAAAAATAAATATGTTTTCATAATTATAAGTTTGACAAAGTTTATTTTAAATTAGTGGTATTTTTGATATATTCTTTTAATATATATATTGATGATGGTGAAGCTATGGATTTGGTATATCTGAATTTTCAGAAAGCATTTGACAATGTGCCACATAAAAGGCTTGTTTAAAAAATTCTCTCTCTATAAGTGTGGGGGATAAGTTGACACATTGGATAGAAAAATGGCTAGATGGTAGAAAGCAGATGGTTGTTATAAATGGAGTTAATTTAAAATGGATTAATGCCACTAGTGAGACTCAAATATGAATTTTGGCAGGGTAAGAGTCATCTCCAGCTTAACCCTTTGGAGATGGGTCATAGGTGAAAGGCTATGTCATCTCGTTTGTTGACTCACATTCAAAACTTTATTGAACTACTAATTCCTGAAAGGTTAAAATTCAAGAAACTGGTGTAAAAATAATTTAAAAAATTAATTTTTTTTTAATAATTTTCAAATAATCAACGTTTTTAACTTGCACAATTAAAATCTTTATACTGAAATTGTTTAACGGTCACAAAATAACCACTCTACATCTTTCAACGTGTATCATGTCATTCTCAGGACTGCTAAGTCTAAAAAACAACCATTATAAAACTATTTATACCAAGGTTGTTAATCATGTGACTCATACTACTACATAGATATACCGTAAGCCCTAAAGAAGGTCACACCATCTGTGTACTTTTTGACCTGCTAACCCTTCATTCTTATTCAAAGTTTGGCCATTGTTATTGTGTTTAATTATTTCATTGGATTCTCTGATATTTCTAGTAGTCATATTGTAACATATTTACTCATTTGTTAATTTCTTGTATACATTTTTTCCGAGGAACTTCAGCAATACAAGTCCTTTCTTAA